CCGGCCGGAGCGTTGAGGCGCCGCCGGATGAGATCTGCGATGGCTTGCTGATCTGCGGCTTGCGGCGATCTCGGACCGCGGTTTTTCCGCGTCCGGCGGCGGGGGGCGGGGGGTCGGGCCCCAACCAAATCAGAAGCTGATTGTTACGCTTGCAGATGTACGAACTAACTATTTGGTCAGTTCGGCCCTTTGGAGATAGTTCACCCATAAAGTATGAAGTTCATATATGGACACACACACACACACGCACATGCGCGCATGCGTCTTTGACCAGATGAGGTTTGGGGGAAGCATGCAGCAATCTTTGGCCCATTTGGGAGGGACGTGGCAAGCACTAGATGTCCGACAAAAACAATGGGCAAACCCGAGTTGTCCCACCTCCTTCCATGCGCATTTTGACGGTCGCTCGAATCAGCGCCAGCCCAAATGTAGCAGAGATTTGATTGTGTTCTTCAGGCCATTTCATGTGCTGACAGCGCATGGTTTGCGCCTGCCTTGCGTGTGCTCCGACCTCGATCTGCACCTGCATTGCCTCCATGTGGGTGTATCATTAGGGTGCACAAAAATTCCAAGAACTGGTTAGATTGCATGCGACCACCAACTACCAAGGTATCCAACATTTCATTTCTGGACCAAAGTATCCAACCACCAGGCACCAAGCACCAACCATTTCCGAGTCGGAGTTCGCATGGCTTAATCCGAGGCCCGCACTGCAAGATCACCTCAAAGAGCTGCAGCTCCGGGGCATGCCATGGCCTGAGCTGGACGCTCTTTTCATAGCTGCTCCATTGCTTTAGTCCTAGATGCAACATATTTATTGTTTTGCCCAGATCGACAGGGATCCCCTTTTAAAGGGGATGATTCAGTTCGGGGTGATTCCCTCATTTGCGTGAGAGCCAGCAAGACCAACGCAGGCCCAACTGTCTCAACATGCTGGAACCCGTTTTGGGTGGTTCTAAAGGAACACCCGCAGGAAACAACCCCCATTGTTTAGTGGTCGCCGCTTTGCTTTGAGAACTCCCCGTTCAACTCCACAGTGATACCAAAGTGACACCACAGTGGACCATTGGGTGATTTTGTCACTGTTGAGGCGGAACCTCTGGGATGTGCAACGCAAGGAAGTAGGTGCTTTTCCCGTAGTTATAATTAAGTTACAAATGGTTGACAGCAGGGTTAGGGAGCATATCTGGTTTCCAGCCTGCCAAAGGCAGACTTGAAATCCAACTGCCTATACACTGCCAGGACAAAAGTTGCGCCTCTGTGGTCTTCTTAGCGATCCCTCTCCCCCCCCCCATATTAAATCATTCGCACGGTCGGATTCTCCACACTCCGAAGCCTTTGAAGTATTTCATAGTTTCAAGAGGATGATAGTTGACCATCCCACGCCTGCCACACAAAACGGATTTGGAAATTCGATGCGCGGGTGGCCCACGCAGCTTTGCAGAAACACGTAAGAGGCACAAGCTGTTGTCCTCCTGAAACAGATTTCAACTGTCTGGTGCTGAAAACAACTTCCATTAAACCTCTGAAGCATTCTCGCTGCCCTTTAGGAGGATGAAAGTTGTGCCCTCTAGCAACTGTGTAACAAAACACATGAGCGGGTCGAGTTGGTCAGATTTGCGGTCACATTTTGTTTGGCAGGCGCGGCGTTGTCAAGTGTTACCCCGTTTCAAGTTGTCATGTTTTGAAGGCTTGCTAGTGTGAACATTGACCGCCCCGCGGCGCTCCTTTACTTGAAGGAGTCTTGGTAACACGTGTTATCCTGGTGGTGCGTGTTTCCAGACTTGCAGCATTGTCGCAAAGCATCTTGTTTTTTCTATGTGTTGGCGAAGGCACAAGATCCAGGGTAAACGTCTTGAGCACAAGCCTTTGTACTTGGCAAAAAAGGGGAGTTACCCGTCTGCGACTTGTCACCCATCACCCCTCCCATAACGCAGTAGGGCGAGCTCACCGATTCGGGGGTAGAACGAGTGACAACCCATGGTGTAGGCCCTATACTTAGGGATCCCTCAGTAATCCAAGTATGTCCCAGTTTTGTCCCTGTGGGCTTGCGCGGAGCTCAAACGGAAACCACAGCCGAAGAGTGTCCGGTCCGGGGTTCCATCCTGCTTCCAGCTCAAGTTCAAACCTCTGGGTTTATCCTTCCAGAGACCCCTTTGGAACAACTTTCCTCTTGGGAAGGGAGGGTTCTACGGTATGCACTTCCGTGTTTCCTGGTAAGACCAAGAAATGGGGGGGGCTTCTTTAGCCAAGGCCCTTGCCTTCCCGCTTCGCCCAGACGTCACATCCTCAATGCTGCAGAGGGCTCCCTGCACCGTGCGGCAGGCAGGTTTCAGAGAAGGCTTCAAGGGCTACCAAAGAATATATACTCCAATGCTTTGACTTCATGTCCTACGAATTCTGGCTGGAACTTGTAGAACACCCTTAGAATTGTTTGGTGGAAAGCAATCTCGCAATCTCCATGTGATGTTAAATGAATTTCACCAAAAGGTTCCTCGGTTCACCTTCGACTTCGAGAGGCTCACTGCAAAGCGAATCGGCCCAAGCTGACCTTTGAAAGCGCATGTCAGCCTTTGATTTGGAGCCCCTGTTCCTCTTTAAGGGAACTTCTGGTAAGTTTTATGCTAGGTGGGAGGGTATGAGGCAAGTGGGCAAGCGGGTATTAACCTTGGGCGAATGCCAACGACAGTCGCGGGTCCAGAGACGTACGGTGCCCAGCTGAAAGTCCTTTGTGAGGCCCCGCCTCTCCGACCCATTTGTGTTCTCCTTTTTGCTTATTCAATCAAGTTATTCATTGTTGCTTATACAATGAAAGTATCTCTTCACTAGATAAAACAACAAAACACCCTCTGATTGCGTTTTTGTTTGGGCGTTTTCGCCCTGAAACTCCGAGAGTCTGAGCTGTATTTTGTTTTGCTCGTGATTCTGTCAGCTAGGAATCAAAGGGCGGCCAGACAAGGGGCCCCTGATGAACTTTGTTTTGCTGGCTACAACCCCCTTTCCCGGTTTAGCACCAGGGTGTGGTTGTTCCTGGCTTCGGCCGCTCTACAAAGGCAAAACAATACGTTCCTATCCAAAGAGAGAGCGCAAATTTGGGGCCTCACCACGCACCACCCGCCAGGACTGGATGTGGAATCTGCATCCATGCGGCTCCACGTCTTCGGGGTCGGCGGGGGCGGGGGGGGGGGGGCGCGGCACGGTGGCCTCTTGTAAGTAACACAAAAATACACTGACCACAAGGGAATAGTAGGTGCTGGGCAACACTACGGGTTTGTCCAAATTTGGGAGAACCACTATGAATAGTTGGTGGAATAGTTGGTGTGCCTTTGACTTTCCTTGTGAACCTGCCATCAAACAAGGTACATCCATGTCGACCCTGTCATATTTTGAAGGTCCTCACTTTGGGGTTTGTCCAACCAGAACTTGCCCTTTGAGGGTGGGAGACTCGCCAAATTTCCCACAAAACGGACTCACCAGTTCTCTCCGGTCCTTGGAGAAGCTCATTTTGGCCTTGGCTTCATGGCCCCGGGCGTTTTTGGCGAACCGAGAGGCCGAGGACCACTTTGCGGACGCCTTCGCTACTTGGAAGCTGTTCATCGGAAGCTTTGCGCGCTGACTCAGGTAACCCTGACCCCAAATGGGTTCCGAAAACGGGTTTCAGATTGCACCAAGGGACAAATCATGTATGTAGCATCCTAGAACCCATTATGTTAGATCCCAGTTAGGGTAGCCCAACTAATTGGTTTGGATTTGTGGTTTGAGGATGGCTTGAGGATTTAAACCCCTCATTCTTCCCCATTTGGCTGACACCCAAAGACTTGGTTCCTACCAAAACAGGGTTCCCGCAACAAGACGGGCAGGTTGAGCTAACTCCAAACCCATCTAAGCAAACTTCCGAGGATGAAGGGGGTTAGCCCAAAGCTCTTTGGGCCAAGAAAACAACGTGTTTCGACATTTGGGGAATAAACCCACGGCAAGTGTTGAACTTCCATTTTTGGGTCTTGGCTCGCAAAGGGCAACTTCACAGGAAGTTCCCCCTAAAACAGGATATGTTGACTTTGAATCAGGGTTTGGGCCAAGCCCTTAGACATGTTCCAACCACTATTCTGCTTTTAGGTGACTAGGGGTTGGCTTAGGCGCACATTAACAAGTTAGCAAGCGAGTGGCAAGCTATGTAGGTGCTTGGGGGCTTTGAAGGGGGGCTCGCCAATTCTTGGAACACACCCTGTTAAAACATGTTGAAGCCCAAGTTCCAAAGCATTACCGTAGTTGTTCTTTTGGCTTTCCCACGGCAACCTGCAACCTGGGTTTGGCTGTTTTAACGAATGTGTTTGTCTTGATAGGAGAAGCTACAAAAGGGCAGGGCACCGAGCCTCACAAACGACAGGTACCCCTTTTTGAATGGTTTTGAAGGGAAATCAAAAGGAAGCAACCAGTTTTTGACGGTTCCTCTACTTTTGCACACCCATGAGACCAACGAGGCTGACTTGGCTGGGCGTTTCCGCGCAGCTGCGGACTTTGCAGCGGAGGGTCGCCGAGGGCAAGGCGCCGGGTGCTGAGTTGCCGGGCCACGGGGCCTTTGGCTGGCCAGCCAAAACCCCCGTTGTCAAAATGAGACATGGGACTCGTGTGACCCGTTGTCAAAACCTGTAAAGACTGTTGTTGGATCTTTCCCTGCAAGACAACTCCGTGAAGGCTATGAGCCAGGAAGTTGGGGAGCAGACCCGGGCCCCTGTGAAACCATTTAGGGGAGGTCGTTCTAAACTTCAACCTACGGAAGTTGGTTGCTCTTTGACTTCGATCGGCAGCCCTTGACTTGGGAAATGACTGCTGACCAACAGGGTAGGTGTGTATATGATTATATATATATACACATTCATTCCTTGTGCTTTGCACGCCTAGACCTGAACCAACAGTTCATAAGGCTGTAAACTTTAAACCAATCTTGCTCCAATGAATTGGCTCAAGCACCATTGTTTTCGATCTTTTGCACGCTTGCGATGGCAGTCAGCATGGCAGTTGGTGGCGAAGAGATGATGAGTGCAGAGCAATTTGCTGCATGGTTAGAAGGTCCGTCCGAGCTGCGGACAAGTGGATCAAGCTTTGTCGATCAGCTGAGGCGGAAGGTGGCCGAGCAGCGAGGCCTTTCCAATTTCAGGCAGCTCAGTATTGTCAGCCGGAATGGTGCGTTGACGCCCGACTGCAGCTGGGATACGGTCGGGCCTTTTTCTGTGGTTGTGCGACCTTACACAGATGTTGCCGGCAGGGAGCTTGAAATCTGTAAAGCTGCAGCTGATGGTGACCTGGCAAAAGTCTTGCTCTATTTGGAGGAGCCAGTTGATCCGAACATTGAGGATGCAGATCAGCGCACGCCTCTACATTGGGCGGCCTCGGAAAACCTCCATAGGCAGAATGAAGGAGTTCTGCGTTGCTTGCTGGAGGTCGGCGGCGACTGGAACAAAGAGGACAGTGATGGGAAGACACCTTCGTTCTTGGCTGCGCTTGCTTCATGTTGAAGCTGAGCCGCCTGTGAATCTGGGCAACCACCCACCTCAGAACTATTTGCGACCTTCATGATGACCTACTAATTTTGGGGTGGTGAGTTCTACCTTGGCCAGGTTGCAATTTGCCAAGAGAGGCACCGAGACAAGATGTGCTCGTTGCGTGACGCTGTACGGACAAGGCGGGCAATGGGCTCTCAGCTCTGTGGTGGCTTCGTGAAGAAGTTGTACCTTGGTCTCGCAAGGTGCTGGCCAAAGCTGCTAGCTACTTGGTGCTTGCTGCCATGGTCAGGGGTCTCTATATTTCCCCTGGAAAGGTGTTTTTTTGAACATCACCCTTCACCCCTGTAAGGTGAGGTTCCTTCGGTAGGGCCTGGTGGGGGTGATGTGCTAAGGGGAAATATAGGGAACCCTGACGGTAGAGCACTGAGAAGAGGCTCAACATGTCGCGACATGGAGCGAACAGCACACGTTGCTGCCAAAAGTGGATATGAGAGGCTGAGAGTCGCTGTGAGTCGCATGCCCTTCGGAGGCAAAATCCGCTTGCCCTAGTTCAATCTTTCACCTGGCATTTTAGCCTGGAACATGACACTTCCCCCCAGCAGTGTTGGATTGGATCCCCCCGAGACGGCTTTGTATGAGGGGCAGGTCGGAAACCGAAGCATCCAGAGAGGTGAGAGTTCTCAATGGAGGACCCACCCAAAAGGTGACGTCCTCAGCTTCAGGACACCCAAAAGGTCTCCTCGTGGGTCCCCAAAGTCTCTCACCATGAATTGTGAAGGGATACATGGGACCAGTCAAGACATCACATTCGTGGGGCATGTGCCAAAAAGTGGTTTTCATGTTGGTTTCCCTGTAAACCACCCCAACAAGGTGTACCCTGAAAAGAGACACACCTGTTTCCTGGCTGATTGAGAGGATCCCCCCGAAGCGGCTGCCTCTTAGGTTGTGGTTCACTGCGCCTCCGGCATCTCCCGGTCGAGCTCAGTGTGCATGGCGCACCTCATGATCTCCGAGGAGCCAACTGAAGTGGTCGAGTGGGTTGGTGGGGTGGGGTTGGCTTGGGTTGGCTTGTTTGTTTGTGTGTTTGCGTGCGTGTGTGTTTGTGTGTTTGTGTGTCTGTTTGTTTGTGTGTTTTTTGTTTGTTGATTTGGTTTGGTTTGGTTTGGTTTGGTTTGGTTTGGTTTGGTTTGGTTTGTTTGTTTGTTTGTTTGTTTGTTTGTTTGTTTGTTTGTTTGTTTTGAGCCCACCCTTTTTCATGTGGATTTCAAGCGAAGTCAGTTAAAACAACCCTCATGCACAAATCATAGTCATGGCTGCCTGCAAACAGGTTGTCCACAGCGTGGTGGACAGAAGTGGTACTTTACTTTTGGGGACCTCCCTGTCCGCTTTCATGATTGTTGGAAAGTGGGTACGCACATCATAGTCAAGCCGTCCAGGAGTGTAGTTTTTTTCTTGGAAGAACATGGGGATTTTTTGACATTTGGCACGAGGGTAGACTCACTGTTTTTGTCTATGTTCTGTAGGGTAAAAACACATGTTTACTGCGGCTCACCGAGTTCGCCCCCAAATGCAACCCCAAAAATGCTTTCTGAACCTGCAACTGCCGCATGTATCTCCAAGTTGGGGAACCAACTCACCAGAAAGACACAAATGTGGGTACGTGTCAAAACCCAAAACCCTTAAAGCCGCCCTGGAAAGGTTCCAACTCCAAAAACTGTTGTGTCGGGCCTCGCTTTGGTGCAGGGCTGGCAGCTGAATGCTGCCGCCAGGCTGGGGCCGCCCAAAGCCTGCCGCGGAAGTGGATCGAAACAATGGGGAACCTAAGATACGGCTTTGAATATTAAATGCAGGCAACTGGTGGTGGACATAAATTCAATAGAAGTCCTCCAAGGCGTCCAGAACTGAAATCCATGCCCATGTGAAGAGCAGTGAAGGTGAGCGATATCGGAGTGAGCTCCTGGACTTGCGTCACTTTTTGAGAACACTGTGTCAGTCGCAAACAAAGCGTTCGGACTTGTTGCTGGCCAATCTACTCAGGAAGTGAAAAAAAGGTGCCTATTCTCCCTGTAAAGCGAGTTTCAACATCGCCTTTTGCACTGATTTCTGGTAAGTGTCCTCTTTGGTGATCTGTATTTTTTTTTGGGGGGGGGGACATAATCTAGGGTGTCCGCTTGAAGAGGGCCCCTTTCAAGCAGAGCGTCTTCATATTTCCCCTTTTGGTTGAAGGATCACCTTTGGAGCCCCAGGTGAGTTTCCTTCGCTTCGGGCTGAAAGAGCCGGCGTCTTTTTGAGGCGAGCGTCGGCTAAACGAGGCCGTTTCATTGGAGGAAGATCCAGTACTTTCATAAAGTTAAAGGTTTACTAAGCATGCTTGTTCATAGGTATGCCAGAATCCAGAGTATGTTTTTTGGTTGGGGGCCAGGCAAACTTGAGGTAGAGTTCGCGGAGGACTTTGATCACTTGAGACCTCCCCAATTGAAATGGGCTGCCCCAAAAGGTATCCCCAAAAGGTGTAAACCTCCAAGAGATGGAGTTTGGGGGTTCCATATCAGTTTGACAATTTGTTAATTTAATAGGGAACCCTTGAAAACTGCTTGGTGGGCACGTGGAGGAGTGTAACGTCCACAATTTGCTTTTTGCTGACAGGATGGTGTGCTTGGCGAGACCCTTTGCGCGGCCCAGCGGGGGACGCAGGGACCCTCGCCTGTCGCATCACTGGAAGGAGCAGGAACGTGTGCCTTCTACCATTCACCATTTCCGTGCTTTTTTGGGAGCTCCCCCCTCCCGCCTGGCTCGTTTCCGCAAACAGTCTTGTGCCAGTCACTGCGTTGTATTGCGCCAAAGGACCCACACAGACAAACAAGGCTGTGCCCACTTAGAGATCTTGCCAATGCTCGCGAATGGGGCAAGAGAAGTCGATGGACATATGGGCCTGCTTTGTTTGCAGGTTTAGAGGGAAACCAAAAGGAATGCCATTTTCAGGGTCCACGCCCCTATTTCAACACATGCCCACATAGGACGCATGATCATGGGCTCTAGTGTGTGGATCTCCCTTTGGCTCGACCCCTTTTGCGGCAGCACAACATGCAATCCAACCGGTCAGTGTGAGGGTTGTGCTAAAACTACGTACCATAAATATATCGAATATTGAACGAATGAATGTCAGGCCCCTAAGTATGAGTTGGTTCCTTTTTACGATACTGTGGATGAACAAACTCCTGCATACAGTTTGTAGGTCGTTTATCTCGATATTTATAGAGCTTCGTTCATCCCAGCTGCTGCGAAGTGGACTTTGTCCATCCACAGTATGGATAGACATTTCGCCAATGGCTTCGACAAGGATCACCCAGCTCATGAGCACTCCCCTCGGGACCAAGGGAGAAGCGGAAGGCCCTTTCAATGGCAGCCCCGTTTTAAAGACCCTAGGCATGGTGAGAGTTGGTCGCATGGGATTTGGAGCCCCCAGAATGGCCTTTGGTTTCCTTAGATATTCCCCAAACACCCCTGTCAAAAGGCATGACCTCAAAACTAAAATAGCCTGAGAGAAACAAAGCAGCGACTGGTTAGAAGACCTTGACTTCCCTTCCCCCCTTCAGTATTTGCACTTTGGTGGTTTGTGATGTTTCTCGGTTGCACAGGGAGCCTTGATAGTCCGAGTTAGACAACTAGCACGAGGTCAGGGTTGGGCAATTGTAGTTCTGAAAGACCCTTGGGGACTGTAAAGTGATAATCCAGACATCCGGTGGTGCCCATGTTTCCTTGTTTTCGCTTGGCGTCCCTTCAAGATCAATCAGCCTAAAGATGCATGTCCTTTGTTCCCTCGGCCACTGGAGGTCTGAGACAAGCTGGCCATGGGGGATGGGAATCCACCGCTTTGTTAGCAAATATATGTATATATATATATATATCTATAACACCAGCGAAGCTTAAGGATAATTGTCCTTTCCAAGCGGGAGTGTAAAATTGATTGAGTGAACACAGGACACAATGTTCCCATGTGTTTTGCCTTTGGGTTGTTCTTGTGAATCTGGCTATCAGTCCGGCGCACTTTTGTCTGTGCGCTTCGAGTACAAAGCGGCTTCCGGATCCGCTCCTAATCTCAAACCTCAAGCAAGGGGCCTCAAGTGGCTACCCTCAATCTGTTTTGGAAAACCTGCACTCCTCCCCTTTGTGTCCGGGAGGACTCAAATGACAAAAGTCGGCAGTCAGTGCTGCCTCGCGAGCCTCTCACGTCATCCGAAGAACGTGTTCAGCTCAAGCCGCTCATAGGAGTCCACGCGGAAACCGGCCCGCGTCTCTCATCATCTCTTCATTGTCCTGCGTTATTCCTCCCTGGCAGAATCTGCACGGCTGCAAGGGTCGAAGTGGAGCCTGTCCAATGCCGGCGCAGTGAATAGTCGCGTGCAAGAAGCCGTCATCTCCTCTCCAGCTCCTGGCCCCACGAACTCGCTGCCTGTCTCCTCCCATCCAGCATCTGGAACAAGGCAAAACCGCCCGCATTCCGCGAACTGTGGCGTTTCGCAACCCGTAACAGTTGCGGCGCCAATGTATCTTGTCACCCATTCCGGTCAAGTGATATACCTCGACCGCTTCAGGCTCAGGTTGCAACTCCCGCCACCGCAGCTGCTCCATCACCCGCAATTCCTCCCGCCAGCGTGCATTCAAGCGTTCGTCCTCCGCATCCGGTTCCACTGGCCTAGGCGGAGGTTGCTCCACAGCTGGCTGTTCTGGTTGATCAGCGTCTCCCCCTCGGCGCCTCCTCATTGAACTTGCCCTCGAGGGATTCCCGCTTCCCGAGCTGGAAGACCTGGCCGCCGAAGTGCTCTGTGTTCTCGGCACCTCCACGACTTCTTCCTCACTTTCCGTTTGGGTGCACTGCTCCACACCTCTCACTCTCAATCTTCTCATCCTCAGACAGATGTCCGATGCCACTTCGTGAACCAAGCGGTACACCACAATCGCCACCACTGCGATCACCAAGACCACCACCGCAAGGTCAATCTTCTCCTCCT